GAGTCGGGCGATGAGCAGCCCCAGAGACAACCCGCTCCAACCGCGATAGACTGGACACCAGGCCGCGACGTGAGACCTGTTTCCCCGGCGACAATTGTACCCATCGCAAGGATATGGCGATTCAGGGAGCAAATCTTTGCGGGTGTCTACCCTGGGAGCCAGGCTATTTTCGGGCCGTCAGCCGTTTTTCCTTCGGCAGCCAAGAGCCCTTCACCCGCTTAGCCTATCTATGGCCAAGGCAAGCAAATTTTATGGATGACATCCTCCGCAGATTTCAAATCTAATGCTATAGGGCGAAAAAACAGGGGGGGGGGCAAAAACGAGGATTCCCACATTTTCAAATGTTGACACCATAAACCTTGTGTCTATATTACACTAAATTTACTGCCAACTATTACGACATCCATTTCTTATTGAGATACATCACCGCATATGTAAAGACAAAACATTAAATCAAAGCCTTGTTTTGTCTCCTCTCTCATATTCATCTGCCATCCACGTTCCGGTATGGCAACAGATATCTTTGCCAAATTTAGGCATGTTGACCACTGTCAGAGAGCAACAAGATTTCCTGTTTTTTTTTTTTTACAAAATCATGCGAAAATTAATGCGCGCGCTCATGTCATCCATAAAAATTACTTGCTGTGGCCTAAATTACCGCTACGGAGGAATTGAGCCCCAGGGAGTGACCGGACCTATTACTTTTGAGTAATTGTAGGGGGGGGGGCAGCATATAGGGGAAGCCCGTGGCACAGGTCTAGAGTAGTGTTGGACTAACAAATGTGCTCGTAAAATTGTCTTATTAAATTATGGAGAACAAGACGACCGCGGCTGTGTTATTCAGTATCAGTGGTATTTCAACAACGTAAAAGCGACACGCACCAGGACCAGGCTGTCTCCAGGACCCGCCCCCTTTTCTTCCTGGGGGACGGACAAATCTTTCACCCGATTTACTCAGTAAGAAATAGCTTCTGCGCGAAAAGGGACTTGGGAGGTATGAAATTCAGATGTTATATTATAAGATTTTATGTTCCATGCCTGCGGTCGATCCCAAAAAAGACTAGGGTCAACTTGTCAACTCACCGATCTAGATTCTAGGGTCTATCGGAAACCTGAAAACAACAGTTTTCCTACTCCAGAGCAACTTACAACAAAGTTAGCCCTTACATCTTAAATGTGGCTCAACAGTGCCATATAGTTGAGAAACTTAATACACGCTGACTTTATTGTGACAAAGGGGTCATGTGGTAAGAGTTGACCTCTAAGGGTTCAGGATTCGAATCCCTATCATGACCTAATGTTATGACTCGGGAAATGCACTTTACACATATTTCCTTCCTCGACATGGTGAAAATAAGTTCATACTAAGGTTTTAATTCTTGACATTTTCTTCAATGGGACGTAAAACTGGAGGTTTCATGTTTAAGTCGAGCCGCACATTTGAACCTTTGAAGAGTGACTAGGAAACGTTGTTTAGTACCAATTGAGAGGGGCTTATGAATCCAGCTGGTGGGGAAAATAAATAAAAAATTGCATCGATAATTTTTCTTGTCTCTCTTATTGTGTATTTTAGATACGAGTGAATGTACATACCGCAGTAGCGTGAAGCAGTCGGGAAACAAACTCGCTCAAAACTCTGGAGTAAAATGTGATACGTCCGAACCGAATACGTATGTCTGCCTAAGTGTGAATATGTCGAAATGAGCCAAAAACGCCACAACGAGGCCCCTTCCAAGAAGCCTACCTGCGCACACGAAGAAAACATCCATCTTCTAGCCTGTGGCTTAATACACAGGTTGATTATAATTATACGTTTGACCAAAATTCTAGCCTCAGTGGCTGCCTGGATAGAGCGTGCGCAAAAAATAAACAACAAGAAAACATCATCGCCAGAAAGACTTGATTACCAAAATGTCAACATGTAAGTCATGTTCATGCATACATATACAGTATGCCACCGATTCCTGTGATTGCGGCACTAAAAAAACTTCTAAAGTTGTTTTTATCCCCAAAATGGGTCACTAGACAAACTGTTGCTTTCTTGTCTAATGACGATCCTCAGGCTAGTAAAGTAATTATACGCACTTCTTATATATGGTCGTATTCGCGTATAGAAGGTAAACATCACGTCTGTACTTTCCAAATGTTTAGTCGGAAAAGATGTCGTCTGCAACAGGCGAAAATTCAGATGCAACGTTGACCAAACATCGAAAGAAAACTGTGGAAAATCGGATTTTCGCACAGGTGCAGTAATTACTGCCGACATGCTAGTAATTATAGGAGAATGCGGGTCACGTGTTGTCTATTCACTTTTACTCTGAACACAGAACCTTTTGTCATATTTTTCTATATGATAATTGACAAATGACGGCGACCCTGTCAAGCTTGACCGACAGAAGTTTTGTAGTATGCCGCGCATCATCAGGACCTCTTTGCTGGCGTTTGACTGGCAAACATCTACATTAAATCATTTAGAACAATCGCGTCAGCGTCATAGCACATACATATGGGTGAGCAAATGTGTTGTGACAGTTTATTTACTGCTACAATCTATGTGGAATTATAACGGACATATTATTTTTTTGCAGTGCTTTTGCCTAGGGAGTTGATGGAATAACGCAACCCCCCCAAAACAGTTAATTAATATGTTACAGCAGTCAACTTGTACAGGCCTGTGGAAGATCGCTCACAGAAAATGTTGGAACAGAATTGAAAATGATGTCAACCAGAGGTTGAACCAAATTTTAAGTGTGTCAGGAGTTTCAGGTACCTAATGGGTGATATCTGTCATTGATAGTAAAAAAAAAACTTCTACCGAAAATTGACGCCCCCTCCCCCATATACAAAATTCCCTACAAATCACATGACGGGTACGAACTAGAGGGACTTGCGGCAAAACATCACACGAAATAGTAAGATAGACGGGAAAATATGATAAAGAAACAGAGAGCGACTTACATGTGAATTGGCTGGCGCGATTTAAGAGACTCAGAAGTAGTATGGTGAGACACTAGTGCGCACAACCAATCAGCGCCCAGTTTTATCGGTATCCATGACAACAAGACCCTGAGGTCAACAAACCGGTCAGACAGCCTCACCTAGGCCCTCATGAGATCATATGGCGTAGGGAGAAAAGACTTTGTGATTTACGAGTTGCAACGTACTCAAAGTTAGCCCTTACATCTTAAATGTGGCTCAACGGTGCCATACAGTTGAGAAACGTAATACACGCACCCTGACTTTATTGTGCCAAAATGATCCTGTAGTAAGTGTTAGCTTCTAAAGGTTCTGGATTCGAATCCCTATCATGTCCCAATATTGTGACTCGGAAAAATGCACTTTACACATATTTCCTTCCTCGACATGGTGAAAATGAGTTCACAGGTTTTCATTCTTGACATTCTCTTGAATGGGATGTGATGCTGGAGGTTCCATGTTTCAGTCGAGCCGCATATTTGAACCTTTGAAGAATGACTAACAAACGTTGTTTAGTACCAATCGAGAGGGGCTTATGAATCCAGCTGGTGCGCAAAATAATTAAAAAATTGCATCGATAATTTTTCTTGTCTAAATTATTGTGTGTTTTAGATACAAGCGATGTAAATAACCTGTACATACCGCCGTAGCGTGAAGCAGTCGGGAAACAAACTCGCTCAAACTCTGGAGTAAAATGTGATACGTCCGAACCGAATACGTATGTCTGCCTAAGTGTAAATATATCGCAACGAGACAAAAACGCCACAAGAGGCCCCTTCCAAGAAGCCTACCTCCGCACGCGAAGAAAAGATCCATCTTCTAGCCTGTGGCTTAATACACCCTTTGATTATAATTATACGTTTGACCAAAATTCTAGCCTCAGTGGCTGTCTGGATAGAGCGTGCGCAAAAACATAAACAACAAGAAAACATCATCGCCAAAAAGACTTGATTACTAAAATGTCAACATGTAAGTCATTTTCACGCATACATATACAGTATGCCACCGACTCCTGTGATTGCAGCACTAATCAAACTTCTAAGGTTTTTCTATCCCCATAATGGGTCACTAGACAAACTGTTACTGTCTATGTCTAATGACGATCCTTAGGCTAGTAATTATACGCACTTCGCTAGAGCGTCTCATATAATGTCGTATTAGCGTTTATAAGGTAAACATCCCGTCTGTAGTTTCCAAATGTTATGTCGGAAAGGATATCGTCTGCAACAGGCAAAAATGCTGATGACCAAACATCCAAACATTCAAGGAAAACTGTGAAATATCAGGGACAGTACAGGTGCAGTAATTACTGCCGACGTGCTAGTAATTATAAGGGAATGCGGGTCACGTGTTGTCTATTCACTTTTACTCTGAACACAGGACCTTTTGTCATATTTTGCTATATGATAATTGACAAATGACGGCGACCCTGTCAAGCTTGACCGACAGAAGTTTTATAGTATGCCGCATCATCAGGACCTCTTTGCTGACGTTCAACTCACAAATGTCCGCATTAAATCATGAAGAACAATCGCGTCTGCATCTAAGCGCATTGATATGGGTGACCAAATGTGTTGTGACAGTTCATTTACTGCTACAATCTATATGGAATAATCACGGCAATAGTATATTCATTTTTCAGTGCGTGTATCTAAGGAGTTGATGGTAATAGCACAAAATCCCAATAAAACAGTTAATCATGTTACAGCAGTCAACCTGTGTAGGTCTGTGGAAGATCGCTCACAGAAAATGTTTGGATAAAATTTTTAAAAAAGGAGGTCAACCGGGGATTGAACCAAACTTTCAGTGTGTCCGGAGTTTTGGGGTACCTAATGGGTGATAACTGTCATAAAAAAAACTTTTGCCGAAAATTGACCCTCATGTACAAAATCCCTACAAATCACATGACAGTTACGAAGTAGTCAAGGGGACGTGCGCCAAACATCGCATGAAATAGCAAGATAGACAAGAAAATATGATAAAGAAACAGAGAGCGACTTACTTGTGACTTGGCTGGCGCGATTTAAGAGACTCAGAAGTAGTATGGTGAGACACTAGTGCGCACAACCAATCAGCGCCCAGTCTTATCGGTATCCATGACAACAAGACCGTGACGTCAAGAAACCGGTCAGACAGCCTCAACTAGGCCCTCATGAGATCGTATGGCGTAGGGAGGAAAGACATTGTGATTGATGAATTGCAACGTACTCAAAGTTAGCTCTTACATCTTAAATGTGGCTCAACAGTGCCATACAGTTGAGAAAAATTAATACACTCTAACTTAACCCTACCTAGACCGGGGGGGGGGCTAAAAGTGCCCGCGGCAACTTTGATGTCACCTAGCGTCTGAACGACTAGCCGTAGAACGGCCAAACTTGGTGACTTTTCCTAGAATATTGTTGGCAACAATTCTCTATCATTGGAATAAGATAATGATTTTTTGTGTTGCCATGGCAACGGGTTTCTGACAGGCATTTTTTGCTAAATTTAGTACTTTTTGTTTCAACATTAGAATTTTTATGGGTTTTTATG